AAGTTCACCAATGGATGGCTCTCTCCGAACCCTACAACTTCTGTCTAGAACATTTCTGTTAAAAACAGGTTCCTAAGGAGATATTTCAGTGCGTCATTTAAAATGGGACACCCTGTGTTTGTGTTAGTGTATATATATATATATATATATATATATATATATATATATATAATATGTGAATATTTAACATACCTTTATAATGACATTTTCTTGTGCCTTATCTTGGAGGATTCCTAAACATGCAACACAAGGTGCTTCATCAGAACAGAGATTGTCCTCTACTTTGATATAACCTATCTATATAAAGGTTGAGATTATCATCGATATTACTCAGTGCTTTAAATTAAGAATATACGTACTCGTTTTGCGAACTCAAAAGGCTTGATATAACAGTCTGGCATTCGGTATCCAATAAAACGTAAACAACATCTTAAGCAGCAACCTTGCGATTTTAAAAAATGAAAAGCTGTTTTTTCTTCTTCCGTCGAAATAGTATTCATCGTGATATCTAAATTTTATATCGTAACAAAACTACTTTTCGAGAAACCACCTGCTTAAATATATCATGTAACCCTATACATAACCTAACATAATATAACCTTTCTCTCTTTCTTTCTATTGGTCGTTCTTTTTAGCTGCACTGCTAAACTAGTGCAATAAGTTAGAGTGAAATAAATATATTTTAGGTGCGGTCCAACAACCGCTACAAATGCTGCGCAGCGTTTCTCCCTCTTGTTCTATTCCTCGGATTCAGAATAAAGAAAGAGAAAGAAGTAAAAATGCTACAAAGCATTTGCAGCGCCCGCTGGACCGTATCCCTTCTCTCAAGCGGGAAGCACATTCTTGCATAAAGGCATAATGTATACGCATAAGATAATTAACCAATCAGAATCCTTATTTCTATTGCCACGATAAAAATGAAGGACTCTGATTGGTCAATTTCTTATGCGTTATGCATTATGCCTTTATGCAAAAGTGTGTGCTCCTCGCTTAAAGGGACGTCTACATTGGAAGTAAGCAGTAAGAAGTAGGAAGTAAGAATAAGAAATTGACCAATCATAATTGATTATTCTTCTCACATTCGACTGTCGTTGGTCAATTTCTTACTCTTACTTCCTACTTCTTGCTATTTAGTTCCAATGTAGACGTCCCTTTAACTTATTGCATTAGTTTAGCAGTGCAGCTAAGGGCGCGTTCCGTTATACGCTCGCAACGCTCGCGAGCGTCATTCTATCTTTGTTGTTCATGGATGTTAAACAAATAGGCTGCGTTCCTTTTGGGCGCTCACGCGCTGTAAGCGTCATTTTATCTTTATCGCTCATTAGATGCGGAAGAAAGATAGAGTGACGTTTATAAGCGCTTAAAGCACGTGAGCGCCCAAAGGAACGCAACCATAGCGTGTTCGACTGGCCCTGGGTTAATCCGAGAGCGATTAATGACGTTATAAGTCTCTACTAGCCAATCATAAAGCTTATAAGTACTTGTTCGACCAATAAACGTAGGTTGAATAACCCAGAGTGGGTTAACCCAAAGCCAGTCGAACATGCTATATGAATCATAGCATGTTCGACTGGCTCTGGGTTAACCCACTCTGGATTATTTAGACTGTTTATTGGTTGAACAAGTACTTATAAGCTTTATGATTGGCTAGTAGAGACTTATAACGTCATTAATCGCTCTCGGAGCAATTAATTCAGGACCAGTCGAACACACTATCAGACAAGGACAAGAGAGGAAACAGGGACCTTTCTCTCATCCTGCAGTCTTCAAGGCTGCGTTCCAAAACTCTACGTCCCGAGCAGGGTTGGGTTTTTCGAACATTTTCTAGGGTTTTTTACATTATACGGTAAAATATGTATAATACGTATAAACTATTTCACATGTCGTACGACAAGCTTTTCGGATACGTTTATTGGTTGGTGAATAGAGTATTTCTAGGTTCTCTGTTCGTCAACCAATGAATGTATCCAAAAAGCTTGTCGTACGACACTTGAAATATTAGCTTAATGGCTCCTGAGAGTCAATTCTGTATCTCAAAACGAAGTGAAAATTACAAAAGTGAGCACATTCACTAGGCACTGACCAATGAAATTAAGAATATTCTAGTATATTTGCTCACTTTTGTAATTTTCACTTCGTTTCGAGATACAGAATCGACTCCCTGCACACAGGACGCGGTAATATTTGCCGCGCGGCGGAAGTCCGCGCGACAGTCAATCAATATGTTGTTTTTCCGTAAGAGCTAGAAGGTTATTACGGAAAGCAGCATGTTGATTACGAACTTTCGCCGCGCAGCAAACATTACCGCGTCCTGTGTGCAGAAGCCATAAAGCCCGTATCAGACTACCGACTGCACAGGCCGACCCGACTGCCGACTCTCAATGGACCAATCACAGTAAGGCGCCGACTCGGTGTTTCATTGTGATTGGTCCATTGAGAGTCGGCAGTCGTAGTTGGCAGTCGGCTCGGCCTGTGCAGTCGGTAGTCTGATACGGGCTTTAGGCTGATATTTAACGTGTCGTACGACAAGCTTTTTGGTTAACGAACAGAGAACCTAGAAATACTCTATTCGCCAACCAATCCGAACGAATCCGCCAAACGTATCCGAAAAGCTTGTCGTACGACATGTGAAATAGCACCTTGATTATAAAGTATAAAAACGCATAAAATGTGTAATACCTAGGATTGCTTGCTGGATGGATCTTTTTCGTAAGGGTGGTAAACAAAATTTGTAGCCATAATACACTGAAAAGAACTTTCTAAAATTTTGAATCATTTATCTTGAGTCACAGATATCTATACTAAACTAGATTACTAACAAGCGTTTCGAACGTGCGTCGCATAAGGTTTCCAGTTGCATTCGAGAAAATGGCGGCGGTCCTGTGTGTGTGACGTTGGTGTGGATGTGTTACTTGGTAAGTATTATACTGGTAAGTTTTATACAGTAAGTATTATACTGGGTAAATTTTATACTGTGTTATGATTATAAGTAACGATTGTTTCATCATTTGTCTATAGATGTGACTATGGACGATTTTGCTAATACTTTACAAATTCATAAAAGGTTCAAGAAAGCAGCCACAAATGTCTCTAACAAAGGTTAGAAAATCATTTATGAATAATTTATGTTGTACACTTAGTTTTAGTATGATTTGGATATTTTTTTTTTCGATTCAATGTTGTGTACAGCTAATGGAATCAGACATACTTTCTTTCACTAACAATATCATGACTTTTTGATTCCCAGTCGATATAGTAATTGTAATTTATTTAAATTTTATGTAGTAAAAGAGAGAGTAACAATGAAAGAGGAAAAATTATGGGATGAAACAAATAAAAGTTTGTTACAAGACAATATGAAAGAAGACATTGATAAAGGTAAGCAATAAGCAATATGCAACAAATGAATATTGTAAAATTGTCTTATATATAGTAATAATTCTTTTCTTAGTAATAACCTTCTAGCTCTTACGGAAAAATAACATATTGATTGACTGTTGCGCGGTCTTCCGCCGCGCGGCAAGTATTACCGCGTCCTGTGTGCAGGAGCCATTACAATATACAAGGCTGCGTTCGAGAACGTCACCCAAGTGTACCCGTTACGTTGAAATGAGCGAGATACAAGAGTGAGATAAAAAGAGAGGAAGAGTACTCGAGTGACGTTTCCGAACGCAGCCTAATGTGAGTCAGCGTGGCCATTAAGGCTCTACAATGTCTGTAAAAATATGGCTGTAAAACGCGAAATGAATTATTTTCATTCGCTAAAGGCTCGTCTACAATAGAATATGTCTGTAAGGCTGTAACGTGAGCTGTCAGTGAATGAAAATAATTCATTTCGCGTCTTACAGCCTTACAGCCACATTCTTACAGACATTGTAGACCACGCTGATGGCCACGCTGACTTATATTTACGTTGTAAGTACTTACACAAATAACATGTCACACGCCAACGTCACACACAGGCCGCCACCATTTTTTCGCATGCAACTGGAAACCTTACGCGACGTACGTTCGAAGCGTTTGTTAGCAATCTAGTTTAGTAGACATCTATGATAATCGCACTTTGCGCTCGGTTCTCATGTATTCTTACGTCCATGTACAGAGCGCACTTTTCGGAACTATACACGCTTTCCAACATGTTGCGCTTATTCAGCGTACTTTTATTATGCTGGAAAACACATGGCGAACAAAACATGGCGACTGCTAAGTAAACATGTATGAAAAGCACTAAGTGGTGTTCAACCGAAAATCTTACAATAGTTGCAAAACTGCTTTTTCTGCTTGAACGCAGCCATTGCAAGTATCACGTGGTTAAATTTGTTCTCTTTATCTAGTACGTGTGTGCGCGCCATCATTTTTCCTGATACGGTTCTTCCACTTTCCGGTGGCGTATGTTGACGGCGATTATGAAAATCGCGGCGAACGAACAAGGAGACCAGCGACGACGATTATGTCAGTTGCATGCCAGTGTCTTCATCGATAACCATGAGAGCCAGTCATATTCGCCGGCATTATTAGTGTACATACCTGTATATATCGTAGATTTTTCATTTCTATGCAACACGTACCTGACTAATTAGCACGCTAAACATTGTATGTTGAAACGCTGTCGTCATACATGATGCACGATGTCTAGTCTGCGAAAGAAGGCAAACAGAAAAGCTACCGAAGCGAAAAGGACCGACAATCTGGTGGGAGGTTAAGTCTCCTCATGCGCATTTACAATTCTAATATACCATCGCACACAGTGCAAAATTAGCCCGATATAGGACAGATTTTTACTTTTTATAACATATTTTACATAAATTCATAAGCATCTATTTGTTTTGTATATTAATAAAAAAATATTGGTTTATCTCCTAGATAGGGTAAATTTGATATTGTGTTATGATTATAAGTAACGATTGTTTCATCATTTGTCTATAGATGTGACTATCGACGATTTTGCTAATACTTTACAAATTCATAGAAGGCTTAAGAAAGCAGCCACAAATGTCTCTAACAAAGGTTAGAAAATCATTTATGAATAATTTATGTTGTACACTTAGTTTCAGTATGATTTGGATATTTTTTTTTCGATTCAATGTGGTGTACAGCTAATGGAATCAGACATACTTTCTTTCACTAACAATATTATGACTTTTTGATTCTCAGTCGATATAGTAATTGTAATTTATTTAAATTTTATGTAGTGAAAGAGAGAGTAACAAAAGAGGAAAAATTATGGGATGAAACAAATGAAAGTTTGTTACAAGACAATATGAAAGAAGACATTGATAAAGGTAAGCAATAAGCAATATGCAACAAATGAATATTGTAAAATTGTTTTATATATAGTAATAATTCTTTTCTTAGTACCTCGTGTTAACACAAAAAAAGGCAAAAGGAAATTTAAATCACTTAAGGAAGATACTAAAGAAGATGGTAAGCAAGATTTGTAGCCATGACATACTGAAAAGAACTCTAAAATTTTTAATTATTTATCTTGAATATAATAAAAGATAAATAAAATAATATATAAAAGAAAGATAAGATAAAATAATATATAAAAGAAAGATAAGATAAAATAATGATATATTTTTGACAAATTTGTTATTTTGTAGAAGGCATTGATTATCCATTAGATATATGGTTTATAATTTCTGAATATATACCACCTGAAACGGTAGGAAAATTCGCGAGAATTTGCAGAAGTTCTTATTATGTAACTACTACTGCAAAATTCTGGTTTCATTTATATAAAACGTAAGTTTATTGTATTTGTATTTAATAGTATGATTTAAATAGGATTTACAATTTTTTCTTAATTTTAGGTATCACGAATATGTCCCAGACTTACCTGAACGTTTACAGCCAGAATGTATGATGCGTCAACATGGATTAAGAGCTTGTGTTATCAGAGCATTGCATTACAATTACTTTACTTCATTATTGCAACGTGAAATAGATAATGTACCTTATTTAAGACAAGAGGAACCACATTCTCTTGTGAGAAGAAAATGCACTCACATGTGGCATAAAGTAAGTTTTTAAATTACATTTTGTGCACATTTAAACTCTTGACATAGATATAAATATTTTTTTGCGTATATTTTTTTGCGTTAGCAGTTATTCTGCTAGTTAGAATTAGCTTTTTTTTTTATATTGTGTAGCAATACTTAATAATAATAAACGCGATATAATATTTTAGGAAGGCAAAATTCGATGCTATTTCTTTTTCAAGTTAAAAGAGACTTCTAAATATCGTAATAGTTCGTTAAAGGAAAATAATAAATGTAATAGTGAAAAGACTGAATTCATCGAAATGCTGGAAGACGTGTCTGTTAATTCTGAAGATGGTTGCAAAGTGCTAAGAGTATGTAATATGAACTTTATTCATAATAGATACCAGAAAAACTATTTGAAGCCAAGAACGTTTTGTAATTTTAAATTACCGTGTTTAAAAATTTACAGGTGACTTGCGTAAAATATTGTATGCTACCGCCAGTAATTGGATTGATTTTGCAAACAGTGTCTATGGGTTTAATGCCTGGTTATAGAAAACATCGACTTCGACTTGGATTTGGAACATCTATTGTTTCTGGCACACTAACTACTGAAGTAATACTTAGCGATGTTACTGGTTACCGTATCTTAGATTGGTGGGATCCTTATTATCCTCATCACGATGCGACTTTCATGATTGATTTTCGGCAAAGTGACTCTGATTAAAACTTTGTACAAACGTTCTGTATTTTGTGTATAAAGATAGGGAAATCTATAAATTTTGTAATTAATAAATTACAAAACTGCAAAACTGGGCGTTTATTTCAAACAGTATCCTTTTTTTCCCTAATATTTAATCGCGAATAACTTTATCATGATAGCATGTGTCATGATATAAGATTGTACGGATTATATAACAAATAACGATAACACATATGCGTGAATTATATAAAGACATTCATGTATATTATATAATATATAAGAAAAAATATATACATTTCAAGATAAAATCTTGTATATGTGCATAACTAGAAATAAAACCTGCATGAGTTATTATTTATCCAGGTTAACATATTATTGCATTACGTCCATGCAATAACGCAGTTGACAAAACAGTGGCGTCATTATTAAGCTTATTTATTGAAATGATACGTCGAAAGGATAAGATTGAGCAATTGCAAATACACAGAAGATTATCCAAATATATTCCAAACGATAATGTGTACGATATGCTTCAAACAAGTATTGTATGCCGCTCTGATACTTAAGATCGCTATGGCTATCAAAACAGATGTGGAAAACGAACTACGGAAACTGTGAATTCGCTTCGTCTGATTTATCGGTTACAAAAATAGAGCCAATACATTATAAATTTTTTCCTTCCCCCATATCAAATCTTTTCATACAGTTGAAAATTATTATTTCTTCATAGCTGCTTCTACAGCGTCTATTAGGTCCTGCAGATGATGTATATTGTTGATGGAGATACTAAGATCTTTGATCTAAAAGTAGAAACAATATGCAATTATGGAGAAATGTACATAACATGTACCATATTTCATATAGGTGATATTTATAACTTCTGTACCATATTTGTGTAACCATCCACGTCCACTTTAAGCTGAATACGTATCTTTTCGTCGTCGCTAGTTCCCTGTGACTCTGAAGAAAGATTTCCAGTAGTTTTGTCACGAATCTTTTTCAACCTTCTTAAGCTTTCTTCAGTCTTTTGTACAGATGTTAACACATCCGTAACGAATAGTAAATAACTAAAATAAAATCCAATATACAGTATAAATATATATTTCTGAGTTTATATACAAACAAGAGTTTCATTGGACATATTTTTTTCTAGTTTTTGTTTAATTACCTTTCTGTTAGTGACGACAACGTTAATTCTAACCAGAGAATAACAGTCTCTGGAATGAACTTATTATAATCTATATGGAAGTTGGTTAAAGGAACCATTGCACTTTTTATATAAGGACAAGGTTTAGTTGGTACCTCTCGTTTTGTCCTTCTAAATAATCTAGGAATGTCACTGACTTGTTTCAAATGTGTTACACATTGCTCCGAGAGCTCATTCACGATCTCTCTCGTAACTGATGGTAAAAAATTCGTTAGATTTTTAGATGTCTCATTTAGAGAATCTGGAATAGAAAATATGTTGCGAGTGTTGATAAAATATTTTGTAAAAATACCACATATACTTTTAGTTTGTCGTGTATATATATTACCTTCTAATAATTTAGATATAGTAACATTCCCGTCTTTAATTTTGGATTGTACCATTTCTAGAAAGGATGGCAATGTGTTTACTAATTTTTCTATATCAGTGTATAGATATACTAGAAAATTCAATCTTGTAGAATGTCCTGAGTCACTTGAACTGTTAGTTTCATTTATTACAGGCCATACCTTTGAATAAAAAATATAGCTTTATCATATACAGTAAGATATTGTTTCTCGTAAAAATCATTCGTAGGCTTATAATTTACATGCAAATATAATATCATGCTATAATAAAATAAACGTACTTGTTTCATTGCATTTTGACACCAGGTTTGATATCTTGAGCATAATTGAAGACTAAGTTTCCAGAATCTATTAACATATCATCAATTAATGTATTATTACACACACACACACACACACATATACGATATTATCAGATTTTAATAAGATTTTAATTAGTAATTAATAAGAAAACAGAGTTTTATTGAATTTTGTTCACCTGTGAAACAATTGGTATAAATAGATATCATCAGCCCAAATTCTTAGTAAGCTATCCGAAATTATGCAAGTTGCGTGAAGCGAGAAATCTTTTTGCGTTAATGAAGCCAGATTGCCCTTAATTGAATCTGGCGATACTGATTCGGCTAATACTGTCTCCACAAATCCGGCTACCTCTTGAAATCGAATTTGAAAATATACTGGTAAATTCCATTTCTTAAGGAAACCTTTGTATTGTGGATGATTCCTTAATGCCGCCAAAGTTTCAGATGTGACACATTCCATTTCTAATTTTATTAAAAATTCTAGCGTCGCTGTATACCTCTGAAATTGCAACAAAATTTGAATATATATTTTTATATTAATTTATATATCTTATATGATGTATAATCTTTTTTTTTAATTTTATTTACCTTATGAAACAACACTGGATCTCCAGGAGCAAAAATAGACTTTATATATTGCTCAATCTTCTCTTCAATTTCAACCCAAAAGCTATTTACCAAAAAGTTAAATCCTTTTACGGATATTCTGTAATAAATAGATCACTATATTAGTTTCATATATTTATAAATAGATAAAAAATATGATTTAATCAACCAAATAAATATAAGATGTTAATACCTGTCAGAATATAATGTGATATCTAATAGTTGTTTCATTTCTACACTTAGAATGTTCAATAGCCTATGATAAATACTGTGCAGACCAAGTGGATCAGTTTGAAGATTCTCCTCATTGATCACATTGTAAATTAATGGCCTTACAAGTTCATGCCTCACTAATTCTTCAGCATTTGTTATTTTGTCAAGTGTAAGATAAATTCTGAGGCAACGAATTGCCAAACTTGAATTCTTTTCCTGTATACATGCTAAGAATAACTCATTCAGGCAAGTTAAATATAAATTTTCTAATTCTGTGCTTTCCTGTTACAAAATAATTGTTTTAGTAAAATTGTGATTTACCAATATTTTTATGAAAATATATACCTTTTCTTGATCCACTGAGATATCTGACTTACACCTGGATACATGAAATTTTAATTGATTGAGTTCAATTGCTGCCTGTTCCAAAATATCAATCTTTGTGGGATGTTCAATAAATGTTTTCATAGATAATATGGACGAAAGCTTCTTCAATGATTTGTACACATGTTGCAAACTGTGTAAGCTTTGCTTACGTTCTCTGATCTTTAGATTGTCATTTAAATTAGTTGAAATAGTTGTAATTTCATCATCTAGGGCTTGTCGTACTTGCTATTGAAAAACAGTTTTGTTAGTACTAGCAAGTAAATTATGCATCATAATTTAAGATTGAACTGTAGAGAATAGTATTAATGATATCTTTTAAATATTTCTCTCTACTTTACCATAACTTCTTCTCTCAACTGTCCAAGTGGTGCTTGTAAATCATTTATAGCTTTATCCAGACCAATTAAATTACTGGACAGGTTTACAAAATCTGTGTAATCCCTATTAATTAGATCAATCATGGCAGATCTCAATAATTTTAAGTACATGCCAAGATCATCTCGCATCGTTTCAAGCTTGCCATTTTTTCTGTGATCTTGCAAGAAAGCATCAACATCAAAATTATCCTGCGACAAAACATGACATATAACATGACATAATAACATAGTTCGTATATATGCATTTATATCAAATTGTAATGATTAAAAGTTGTTTTGAATCAATAAATGTAGCAATAACTATATCAAACCTGTATAAAATCGAACTCGGAAAAGCATAGATCTTTCGGAGCCTTTGGCAAAGTGATATTGTTAGACATAACTGTGTATTTGTTCTTGCAAAAATACTTTTTAACTTGAAGACTAATTAACGATGACCATCACACTTGCGTTGATATAAGTTATCTTTTCTTTCCTTGTAAACTTCAATTGTGTTCCACATTTAAAGATCTGCAGCCGCTAATCTTCATATTATGACGTGACACATGCTGTCCTTTTTGGCTACGCTTGCTGTACTTTTATACATAGAAAGTGCAAGATGGGGGGGCCGTGTGTTTCGTTTCAGGGCGATGTCCCATGAAATGGAAATTCTCAGCGGAACGGAACACGTACACCAATCACAGTTATTATAGCTCCTGCACACAGGACGCGGTAATGCAGAAGTCCGCGCGACAGCCAATCAATATGTTGTTTTTCCGTAAGAGCTAAAAGGTTATTACTGAAAGCAGTTGCACAGTTGCTTTCTCTGCTGAACGCAGCCGTTGTAGACCACGCTTTATGGAGAATTCACACCGCGTCCAATATCCGACATACGACGTCCGATATCCAATAGGAGAACAGCTTTCTAATAGAGGATTCAATTCTCCATTGGAAAGCTATTCTTTTACTGGATATTGGACGTCATACGTCGGACATCGGACGTGGTGTGAATCCTGCAATACAAAGGCTACATTCGGGGAGATGCTATTTAGTGCTATGAGCGTGCTCTGTCCTGAACGTAGCCAAAAGATCCACCGATTACTACTAATTAAATGTAATTTTTCTGTGATTATTTTATTTAACACAGTAACGACGATTGGTCAGGTTCCGATATACATGAATTCGCAATTGTTTGGACAGACCTTTATGATGGTATAAATAAAAAGGAACAGTTCTATTGTTTTTAGGAACGCTCGGGGTTATAAGCTGGTGACATATAGAAAAACTTAAGCAGTAAAACGTAGCAGTAAGCAAATTGACCAATCACAGTCATTGATTCTTCTTACGATCCAAGAATCAACGACTGTGATTGGTCAATTTGCTTACTGCTTATGTTTTCCTGCTTAAGTTTTCCTGTGTGCCACGGCCCATAAGCGCGTTGTGAAAGATTTGAACAACGTCGATGTAACGTACGGCGTGCTTTTACCAAGTGGATTTCTATCGTTGTAATGTTTTTGCTATTCACGAAACTAATACATAATAGACATAATAGATAAAGCCTACAAACAAGAAATCTTTGATATTCTCACATCGATGTTTCCTCCCCAAGATAGCGAACGAAACTTGGAAGTTCTGCAGGAAACATACGATGAGCTGCAACGATATTATACATTACTTCGTTTGATGAGAGCCGATCTGGAGAAAATAACAAATAATTTCACTGCTTTGAATGGTGAGTACAATATAATATTTAATTGAATATACGATAAATCTAAAGCTCAATCAATTAATGATTAACGCCACTTTTGAGACAAATATGTTCATTGTGAAGTAAAATATAGTAATTTTATTTTTATAAACAACCCACCTTTAGGCTTCTAAAAAAGAGGTGAGACGTTTTTATGTGCTAAATTAATAAAAATTATTTAGGTAAAGTTCCAGTCTGAGATCAATCTGAGGTCAAAAACAACAGCAGAGTTCAGATTTTTTTATAATTACAGTTTTTAATTGATGGCTTTAGGTGTAATATTGAGTAGTTTAAATTTAGTAGTGTGTAATGACAGAAATAATTATATTGATTAGCTTAGGATTAGCTTCAAAAAATCTTTTAGAAGCTTATTTGCATAATATATAATATATTCGTAACAGTTGTAATGGTTATACTAAAAGTAGACTGTATATAGTTTGTGCTTGATTAGACATAATGGTCAAAACAATATGTACTTATTTCTTTCAGGAATGTAACAGTTGGATTCTCTAAGAATAGACATACAAATTATTATACAATTTGCATATATGTTGTAACGTTTTAAGTTGTATAAAATGGAAGCTCGTAAATCTATGCATATATATAAGAGAATGGAGACTTCACTGAATAAGTCTCCAGCCTCTTCATCATCACTACGGAGGAAATCTATTGTCGCTCAGAAGCAACTGTCTAGTGTTCTCTCAGAAAATGATGATGAGGCAGAACGTATTGCTCGTCGACGTGACATTTTCACACCTAATACCTCAGCACTAGCTGGATCTAACAAAAGACACTCCTTGGGTTTGGGATTTCTAGCCAATGTCCCGACACGCCAAATAGCTGAAAGTATCAACCAATGTATAAAGCTGAGTGCTGAAAACAAGATCAATATAAAGAATGCGTTCAGTCTGGAGATGATAGATTTTATGACATATATGATAAAGAAGCAGGACAACAATATGTCCAATCTGCAAGTAGCCAGCACATCTTTGGACGTAAGCAGTAAGATTTACGGGTTTCGAGTGGACAGCGTGCATACGGAGATACTCAAGATAATCGGCGGTTTGGACAAGCAAGCTCTTGAGGATGCTGAGCAGGACCAGAACAAGCAAGAGGCAGCGCTACAGGAAAATATGGACATTGATCTAGAGGTATCCAAGAAGAAGAAGAAGAAGAAAACCAGACAGAAGATCTGCAGCACCGTAGAGGCGTTGAGAGGCAATATTGAGATCGTGAAACCCTTGTCCATGATGATAGGCGAGGGCGATCTGCAGACCAGCGACATGCTGTATCAAGCGATGTTGCCTAATCACGTTACGTCGGGTTTTTACCAGCATTTGTACAACGACATACTCGTCGACACTGTGAACGAAGAAAGCAATGTAAATTCGATGAAATACGCCATACCGACAATTGACGATTTTGAACAACTGGAGATTTGCGCGTCGTACTCGAACTTTGAATTTCTTGGCTGGTCTGTTGAAGACGAGCCCGAAAAGATGTCGGATACATCGGAGGTGGAACATGATGACGACGACGAGGCCGACAACCGTTTCCAATTCGATCTCGATGCCAGTGTGGAACACGAGGCCGAGAATCCGTTGCCCGAGCTTGTTAACTATTTCGATATTGAGACGCAGGACGACAAGTACGTGTGCGAACGCCAACAACGGCAAGCGACAACGAATCATGTAGATAATATTGTAGACGCTTCAGCTGCGGATGGATTCAAGCTTATCGTCGCACCCGAATACTCGTTTGTGCTGCCGAATGCAAGTTTGCACTGGGCTGGACCGACTCATTGGAAGTTCCACAAATTCGTGAGACCGGCTGCAAACGCTGTCATGAGCAGCAAGGTCATCGGGGCGTGCATGCAGGCGCCGCTAAAGAGGAGGAAAGAAATCGAATTGTCGTACGAAGGGAATAAGGACGTGATAGAGGCGAAGTTCGCGCTGAGCCAGTCCAACAGGTTGCAGGCGAAAACAGCCAAGACGGAGTGGAGCGCTGAGAATCTGACGTTACCCGAAGATATCCACTACGATATCATGCGGTTGGTAAAGCTGTACCTGCATCAACATATGAGCATCAAGCAGCAGCAGAACGAAGACAAAACTGAAGCCGCGGATGTGTCTGACAGCGACCGGTACGATTACAATAACCCGAACGACACGTTGGACTACTGTCCTGACGTGCACAACGGCGATTACGACGAGGCTAGGGACAACAATGACGAGAATGAGTGCAATTTTGAGTTCGAAGACGACAGGAACGCGTTAGCCTCAAGTCTCAGTCAAGGCCTCACCGGCAACAATCTTATTTCGGCGCCGAAATTGGCCAATAAGATATCCATCGCGTACTGTTTGAGGGCGAAGAGAGTCGACATGCGGCAACTGAAGAAGTCCATCTGGAGATGCTTGAAATCTACGAGCGACGCGGATATCACGAATACCGCGGAAACGGAGATGGAGGAGAGTACGATGAAGGACCCTAAGATGTTCAATAACATTTACAAGATGTTGCCAAAGCTACTGACGAAGAACAACGCCGAGGCGCTGAGCGTGCCGCTCTTCTTTATATCACTGTTGCATTTGGCGAATGAGAAAACATTGAACATGTGTTCGTTACCGGACATGTCTGATATCACTGTTGAAAGACGTTGAAATCAAGATTTGTTTTGCGCGTGTGTATTTGCATGTATATACATGTATATTGTATGTAAAGAGAGCGAATACATATAACACATTTTGTACGTTAAAAAAAAATATATATAATATTTATATATTATGTACACACACACACACACACACACACATAATATATAATAAAAATATATATATAAATAATATATATATTATTATTTATATTTTTTTGTATTATATATATTGTGTGTGTGTGTGTGTGTGTGTGTGTGTGTGTGTGCGTGCGCGCGCGCAATATATATAAATATATATATATATTTTTTTAACGTACAAAGTGCATTATATGATTCGCTCTCTTTTATATATATATATATATATATATATATATATATATATATATATATATATATATATATAAAATAATCAATAGTTTTCTAAGAAGATTAAGCGATTAACGTGCATATTATATGATACAAACCAGAATTGTAAAAATATCAATTATTCTCAATTTAATAATTGATTTGTGCACAAATATATGCCAATTTAACTAATTAATGATTGATTTGAGCAAAATCAATCAAAGGATGTTTAAAGTTCTTAATTCTACGGAACTTTTGACATCAAAAGCGAGATAATGCACATCTAAAGCGCGTCAAAGTGATTAATTAAAATCAATTAAATTTCGCGATTATTAATTGAATTTGTTGCAATTAATCACTAATTAAACAGTCTGTAGTTGAATTGGCTTATATTATTGTCATTTAAACATGATAATTACTCGCAATCCTGATATACATTTCACCACGATTTGATCGTTACTTCCCCGCTGAATATTTCTAAATATTTTTAGCTTTGTAATGTTAAGGGAGAGTTAAATGTTGCAAACGTTCAGATTAGAAACGAAGGATATTCAGCGACGGTAATCATTTTTACAGATGTCCATGATCGACAGACGGGCGCGACGAATCGGCAATTTCTTGCAAAGGATCCAGCAAAATGATCGTGTTAGTTAATCAGTTGCTTTCACGCAAATGTTTATCCTTACACGCACCAACAACGAATATCATATTTAAATTTTTGTTATACAGAAAATAAAGAATCTTTTTGCATTTTAATTTGAACGCTCACTGTTCTTGATTTTATTACATGATCGAAATTCTCTTCTTTGATCTTTGTAAAAATGTCTAATCATGTGGAATTTATGAAAAGTGTTCACGGACACTGGTTTCTGCAAACAATTTTACGCGTGCCAGCTTCACATGCGTCTCGACGTATTGCACGTCACTTGTTTCTCTCGCATAGATCCGTCAAATTCTTCGTGATCCTCCTTGGCGCTGTTTTTGGTCTGTGTTTGAAGTATTGCATGAAAACGAGAAAAAATGCCATAAAATAAACGTATTCTTTCACATTCAAAGGGACAAAATTAAAGTCATGACTCCGTTGCAAAAATATTTTCTCAAATTGATGCGACCTTGCAGACATTATACCGCTTGTTTACATCGCGAATTTTCAGTCGACAATCAAAAAGACGGAGCAAAGAATACAAAGGATCAAAATAACAATCAGGAAGATAACGATAATAATACGAAGTCCGATGTAAAAGTGTGCATCGTTGGCGGTGGAGTGACACCTCTTTATACCGCGGTGCTCTTGAAGCAATATCGAATTATCAAGAGTATAAATCTGGTGGATATGGAGGGTTCCACGTCAGCAGTAGGAGCTATGAAAGACGCGTTTCATGAGGAAACCAATCCCCGCATAAATTATTTCGGGAAACAGAACATGAAGCAGGCGTTCAAGGAAGTAATAGTGCTCTTTGACATATAATAAAACATTAAAAAATGAAGTATATGAGATAAACAAATAATATATAAATATTTTTATGCTAAACTCTCTTTTATCGATAAAAATGCTTCTAAGTGCGACTGAGAGCAAATCAGAAGACTAATAAACTATATTTAGAGACACTTATTAGTAAAAAAGACTTTAGAATAAAGGCTAATTACAGAGGCCTTTAGTCTCAACTCTCTTTTGTCGATAAAAGTGTCTTGTAGCCAATCAGAAGGTTTATAAATTACTTTTAAAGACACTTTTATCGATAGAAGAGGATTCAGAATAAGGACATAGAGAAGTAATCATATTTGTTCTTAAACAATTTATCGAAGTTTATAAAAGCAATTCGAGATTCGATAGTTGATCAATTGTCGCCACCAGGGGCATTTCCTCTCAAAGCTAACTTCACAGAGTAAGGGTAGGAGTACAGACTTTTGCATAACGCATAATAATTAACTAAAAAGAATTTTTCATTTTCCTGCCCAGGATGGAAATGAAGGACTCTGATTAATTGATGAATTCTTTATGTGTTATGCATTAACGGTGCGCAAATAACCTCATTTATATCAAATACGCGTTATATTAAAACCGGACACTTAGGTGGATATCGTTGCGCTCATGGACGAAACGGATGCCATGACGGACAGTAACAATTTGGCGCCGCGCAAACAATTTCAATTGTCGGTCGACTACGTGCGTCAGATGGCGGACCAGATGCTTCGATTTTGCCCGGGCGCGCTCGTGGCGGTGTTCGCGCGACCTGTCACCGCCACGCTTGCGATGATCTCGGAGATTTTCAAATCTTCAGGCTGCTCGAATCCCGACAGGATCATCGGCTCCGCGGCTGCGTACAAAGCGCGAGTCGAAGAGACCGCGGCGACCCTCTTGAATTTTGAACGCGTGAGTCTGTCGGTGCCAATCGTCGGTGGTGCCGACGAGTCCACCGTCGTTCCTCTGTTGTCGCGCGCCGTCCCATTCAATCAATTCACAAATGTAAGCAGAAACCGACCCTTTCGGTGAAATATTGTATTTAATGATAAACACACGAATTCCGAGTCTTCGAGGTTTTCAAAAATTCGAATTCGAGCGATACGTACGCACAGAAAAAATTAGTATCCACTTGAAACTAATATATTCAAACTAACAACTCAGATAACACAAAATCTTCAGAGAATGTTCTGGGACGTTCTTAGGATGTATGAATGTCCTTAGAACGTCTTTAGAACGTTCTTTGTGATTTATAGGAATCGTTATTTCACATATAAGCAACGATATATAACATTGTTAGAAGAATTTCAATAATATTATAAATAATATTATAAAGTCCTGAATTTCGATAATATTATAAATTTATTTGAGTATTATAATAATCTCATGAGAGAGAAATACAATATGATTATTTTGGTAATAATATCTCTCTTTTTCCGACATTTAGAAATATATTCTTAATCAAATATTTTGTGCTTCCCATACAAGAAAATTATTTTTTAATAATAAGAATATATTTTTCTTTGTTGAATAATATATATTAATACAAATATCTTTTCGTTTGACACTATATAATCTCATTTAAAGATTTACATATGAAAAGTAAAAATATTTTCCAAACTGTTCTTTTTTCTGTGCGTGTAAAGATTCAAATCATTTAAAGTATTACTTGAAAGCCTCGGACAATATTTAAGATTTTGAATGTTTCTATTAACAAAATCTGTCGAGAAGTATGTACAATGGGTTGCAAAACAGTTTAGACACAATGAAGTTAGGAACTCAGCATTAAAATTCAAAGTCATTACCGATGGACTTACGCAATAATAATATAATTAATAACATAATTAAAAACATTAAATAACAGTAAATAATAATATTAATAATAATTAATAATATAATAACAAATATAATTATTAAGTCAGCCTATCGTACACAATAATGATTTGCAATTTTGGTAGTTTGGTGAGCTTCCAACTTCATTGTACGTTTAAATAGTTTTACCATTTATACATTTTTTTGTCGAGAAATATCGCAATCATAACTATTTATTAGGCACAACGTCAAAGTCTGCTGCAGTCATTTCGGACCGACGAAAATGGGGAAATAACGAAGACGTTCTTTAGATATCGTTCTTCGTTATCGTCCGGAACGGCTGCTATGAGTCTATTAACCGCCCTCGCTGGTGGTCTATGCGGATACGATAACATTATCACCTGCGCCTACATGCGATCCGATGTTCTGCCAGTCTGTCGATTTTTCACCAGCGAGTTACAGCTCGGCGTGAATGGCGTGAAGAGAAACTTGGGTTTGCCGAAAATCTCACCCGCTGAAATCTTACTAATTGAGCAGGCGATACCGCTTATTAACGAATACGTCGATATGGCATTCGCGGCCGTGCGAACCAAGCGAATACAGGTAAAAATGCGATAAACTCTATCTGTAGAAAGTTGCTCGCTCTTAAAAATTTGATGCAATATAAAAAGAATATTAAGACTTCTGGCTCCTCACATTGTCTCTTTTTAATGACGTCAGAAACGAGAAAATGTATGCTAAAAATTCTTGCGAAATATGTTGCGAAATAAAAAATATATAAAGTAAAACAAGATTAAATAAATCTGTGAATATTCCGTGCATTCCTTTTTTGCTTCAATAATTAATAATTTGTCGTAAATTAACGTGACATACACTTCATCTTCTCAATCTATTTCTTCGCATTCAGGTTAATTTACAATAAATTATTGTAATTTGATTGTTACAGCAAAAGGGAAGTGCACGGAATATCTTACAAATTTGTTTAATCGATTTGCAAGTATTACTTTCTTCTAACAAAATTATACATCGTTGCTTATATATGAAAAACAATTATTTTTAATTTGAATATATAAATTTTAAGTGAATACTTATTTTTTTCCTAGATCTATATCTATATAGATCTAGGAATTTCTATTTCTATTTCTTCTATATCTATTTCTTCTATATAGATGTTTCAGGAATTTTTCTCGTTATTTGAATTTAATATTTTAACAAATAGGATATTTTAACATATCTATTTGTTATTTTCACGCTTGTTTTTTGCATTATTCTGAGATTCTTGTGTAATCGTACAATTTCATAATTGGGATTTCTGTTTTCTTTAACTGTAGAAAAAATCTATAAAAAACTTACATATTTTACTGTTTTTGATGTCGTAATATAGTGTGGTTACGATTCAGAAAACAAGAACGATAAAGCTAGAGATTGCGATAAAGGTTTGAGATAATTAATAATTAATAAGTTTGCATATGTATTCATGAATATATGCATTATATGCATAAAGCGTATACACACCATGAAAACTTTAAACATCCTATAACAAGATTCTTGATAAAATTTTGCGGAAATATGCACCCAGGTAGAACAAATAGTCAAAATAATATCAATCTTACGTCGTTTTCACGAAAAACTGACGTAAATTTGGTCAATATTTGATCAAAATGACGTCAGATTAACGTTATTTTGACTCTGTTTTACCTCTAGTAACGATAGATTAACATCTTCTTTCTGTTTCGGAACACCTTGTATATGAATGACGCGCGGCTAGTGTGCGCATGAATAGCAGTGACGTAAATGCATACTGCACATGCGTCGTGCTTTGTTTTGACATTTGCTGTCGACATATAAGCACGAGTGGAACGTCGTGATCTGTTGAGATGTAATTTGACTGTCGGGCTGATGTGTACTTAGCGGATGTATGAATATCGCATAATCATTTCGTGATACACCATTGTCTTTCTTTGTCGTTTGTCGCGACGCTGTCGTGGTGTATATAACGATTGGTAAGTACAGACGCTTGTCAGTTTGGACGACGACGACGACGACGACGCAAAACACTGTCCTCGTCGGCGACCTCTGGAAGTTTCGATGAGAACCGAAGTAAAATATTGGGACTGTTAGAAGAAAGAAGTCAGGATAAAGATTGCCATACCTATGTAGGGCAGAGATCCGTAACAAAAGGAAAAAGTCTCTCTTCGGTCGTCTTTCTCTCGTTTTCAATAGTCGATACACATAGCTGTCAGGTGTGATCGTGTGAAAGTTGATCGCATCTAGAGTTTTGTCATTAAGTGTGGAGGTAGTGTACGAAGTGTCATTCGTATTCTTTCAAATAATATTCACGTACACTCCTGACCTTGGAAGTAGCATTTATTGTCTCTAGTGTATGTAAAGTGAGTGATGATCATTGCTTGAATATTTTGAGAGAAAACAGACAAAAAATCATCTTGACACCATGTGGAAGCCATTTGAAGCTGGCAGTTCACCAGTGGACTGGTGTGAAGGCAATTACAGTATTTCACCAAGCATAGCTGAGTTTATGAATACGGTTTGTATATCATATATATAATTGCGTAAACTTTGAACACAGATTAATATATTTATAATATTAATACCAGCATAGAGTGACTTCAATATCCCAGAAAGTTATTTCTTATTTATTGAATCTCAATGGTCATGTAATTTTAAGCGAGATGTCATTTCTTTGTTTGTCACTAGAACAATAACAGAAAGATAACAATATCTTTATTTAAAATCTTGATAAAATTAAAGAGATATGAAGTATAAGAGAAATACATAAAAGATAAGAGTATATGAAATTGTATTGTGCATATTGTAAATATAAAATCTCATCTCTGATAATAATTATATTCGACAAATATTGTAGTTCAGTAATGTGGTCTTCCTGCTACTTCCACCAGTACTAATGCATCTGTTCAGGGACTACGGACGTTTTGTAAATCCAGGAATTCATCTAATCTGGTTCCTGTTGATGATAGTAGGCCTTAGCAGTGCATACTTTCATGCTACTTTGTCATTGATAGGTGAGATTTGATTATCATTGTTCTAGACAATAAGCAAGAAATAGTAGTTTTTACACAAATTATTATTTAGACTTAGATATTTATTCAGGTAGTGAAATTTTAATAAGAATAATAACAATTGATTTTCTGTGTAACAGGTCAACTACTAGACGAATTAGCTATTCTATGGGTATACATGGCAGGCTTCTGCATGTTCTTCCCAAGAAGATATTTCCCAAATATTTTTCACAACAATAGGAAACTTTTTTCTCTATGTGCGACTTTACCGACGTTAATCGCCACTGGCTTGGCGCTGGTACATCCAGCTATAAATGCTTTTGCACTGATGAGTTTGGGTATACCGGCATTTGGATTTATGATTATAGAATTAAAAAGGTAATACATCCTTAACATTACTTATTATTAACGTCACCAGTAAAAACCTCGTCCTCAGGCCAACAAAAATTATTTCTATTTTATTAGAGAATGTTCTTTCTAGTCGTAAGGCTTCCAGTTAAGGCTCCTGATCTCTCGCATTGTCTATCTCTTTTTAATGACGTCAAAAGCGAGAAAATTCATGCTAAAAATTCTTACGAAGTACATCGCAATAAAAATATATATCTATAAAATAACACTTGCAATCAATTAAACAAATTTGTAAGATATTTCGTGCACTCCCCTTTTGCTCTAACAATTAATAATTTCTTGTAAATTAATCTGAATAGAAATAGGCGAAGAAATAAATTAAGATGAATTGTATGTCACGTTAATTGACGACAAATTACTGATTGTTAGAGTAAAAGAGGAGTGCACAGAATATCTTACAAATTTGTTTAATCGATTTTTACTTTATGGATATATATTTTAACGTATTTCGCAAGAATTTTTAGCATGCATTTTCTCACTTCTGACGTCTTAAAAAAAGATAAACAATGCAAGAGGCCAGGGTACTTATTATGGACTTCTTCTGAATCAATTCCGGTCGGAAACATTCAGTTATTTCCTAGATTTCTATTGTCTTTTCTAGGGGAAACGGAATTATTCCGATCGGAATTGATTCCGAAGAAATCCATAATAGGTACCTTAAAGCTTTAATATCTTTTATCTTGCTGTTATATATTAATTGTTCAAACGTTCTTGGTGTGTGGACTGTATGTGGCCTAAAGGAAAGATATTCTTTAAAGACTTAATTTTGCTAATTGCGCGTCGAACTTTTTCAGAACAACGTCAATGAGAGTCTACAGACTGGGACTACGATGCGGCGCTGTGTGGATATTGGCGGTGACTTGCTGGCTGAATGATCGCTTGTTCTGTGATACATGGCTGAACCTGAATTTTCCGTATCTCCATGCGTTATGGCACTTATTTATTTTCATAGCGAGCTATACCGCGGCGGTGTTATTCGCTTACTTCTCAGTAAGGGAGGAGAAGCCGCAGCAGTTTCCAGTGCTCAGATATTGGCCTAGAGACGACTTCGAGCTCGGTATACCGTATGTAACTATTCGAAGTTATATTAAATTAGACAATAATTCAAATATTTAGTTAGTATCTTACTAATCACATTGTGTGAGATCACTAAGGCCAAGTTCCACAACACCCGTTTAATTTTAACTACCGGTTAAGTTCCAATAGTGATTAGTTATTTCTGATTAACTCTTCTTAATGTCAAATGCGATTGACCAAGTCCAATGGAATAACTAGCCAGTTAAGTTAACTGGAGGTTGTGGAACTGGGTCTAAGACTGTAATGCATTTTTTTTACAGTTGGCATTGAAGTTTTTCTGAGTTCTCGTATGAAAACAAAAGAATAATTCATATGTTATGTATTAATTTTATTTCAACATTACATATTTTGAGAACTTTACATTTTTATTTAAATATTATGTTCCCTTTAGAACAAATTTAGAATTGCGTGAATATAATGTTATGTTATGAGAAATTGGAAAGATACACGTAAGTTACACGTAAACGAGAAGGGGAAGTTGTTAGTATAAAAATTTCGATTTTTATGTATATATGAACACTATTGAATTTTTACTTAAAATTGTAATAAGTAAAAATGACTTTTTCTATGACATCTAATTAATATATTTGCATTTGTTAGATCCGGTTTCACCAATGTCCTTGAACATAAGTTAAATCTTAATCTGAGTTTATTTCCTTATCTAAAGGCAGTTTAAACTTAAGTTAAGACTTAATTGACATTGTTGAAACTGAGCATTAGTCTACAGTCTACTAAATTATTAATCTTTTAATGATATTAAATAGTAGTAGGAATTTTTATTACAAAAATCTAAAACAGATTTTACAAAAAGGAGATATATATATATATATATATATAACAGGTTTATATTTAAGATTTTCATTTTTGTAAACGATGTAATTCATTTTATTCGTGTATGTAGAAATTATAAAGAACATATACGAATGAAATGACAAACTAACACGCACGGTTAAAGATTATAAAATTTGTAACATTTATGATTATATAAACGTGCATTAATAAATTAGTAAATTATTTATAGAATCATTGTGATATGTATTTACTTGATCTCTTGTTAACTTTTTTATAAAGAACTATTTTATAAATGTGCTATAATGTGAAATGTTATCGAGAATGGTAATGTGTGCACGAACGCGTGTTTTATATTTTACGTATTGTCTATGTACGCGGGAATATATAGGGCATAGATGTACTTAATCAGTAATACGTGTACTCAGGACTTTTATTAGTTATTTTAGTTTCTATATACATATGTAATAATTACAAAGGAAAGAAAAGAAATAATATAAACAATCATTGCCTGTCATAATGTGGCATGTAAAATTCCAATAAAATTGGAATGTTAAAATATCTATATGTGTTAGCATACGGTTTTGCGCATATCTGCGATTACTTAGTAGTATATTGTACAACATATAAATGTAATAAATATATTAAACAAACGTCGACGATACAACAATTTGTACAGTTGTTAATATAAGTTGTTAATATAATTATTAGGCAAACCCGTTAATAATGACTCTCAATTCGGAACACTTTGATGAACTCCTAAATTTATTGTATCTGAATCATTTTGTCTAAATCCATTATATAGAAGTTTTATTTGCTTTGAGTTCATAACTTTGCTTTAAGCCATTAGTTGTAAGCAAATTGACAAATCACAGTTGATTAATTCTGGAACAATTCCAATAATTCCAAGAACAATTGACTGTGGTCTGTTAATTTGCTTACAATTCACGACTTAAAGCAAGACTGTGGATCCAAAGTTAGTTGTCTAAAATGGATGGCACACAGAAGAAAGGAAGCAAGAAAATTAACTAATTAATTAATCGATTATTCCTGGAATCCGTGAAAAGAATTATTAATTATGGTCAATTTGCTTCAACTTACTACTTAATTTTTACTGCTCTTATATGTACTCCAGACTTAAGATAGAGCATGAAAATATTGGTCGTTGTAAAATGCATTCATGCATTGATAGGGCCAGAAGGTGGCCGAAACGTTTGTAATGATTTTGTATGATTTGTGGTTTCATTTCTACTGCATATGCAGTATGTTTAACATCCATGATGATACTATTGTATAACTTTACACCCGCGCATTTACTTGTAGTGCTGTTATTGGTCATTATATGTTTTTTTATTTATTAAATTTTCATTTTTCAGTACAGAAAGAAAGAGAATTCTATTCTCCTCTATAAAATACCATATTTTTGTCAGTTTCACAAACTTTGACTTCATATAATAATTCGGGTTGTGGCATCTGTTTTTTGATTTCTTCAAATATGTAAATGGCAATATTTTCAGTTGTCGATACTGTACTTTTGAAATAATCTAAGTCTTTATCTAAATTTTTATGATCCATTTGATCCAGTACCTTGCCCATGTATATTTTTAAATGTGATATGTTCATAACCATGCCTTCTATTGGATGTACAGGTCCACGAACAGTTACTTCTACTGTAAATTAAAAACTACTGTAATTAAAAATCAATGAACATCAACGTGATAATATTTCAATAAATGCTTTCCAAGAAATTCAAAGAGAAATGCAAAAGATTTGATGTTCATTTAATGAGAATTTTAATATTAGAAATACAATTAAAACAATTTTTTAAATAATAACTATTTACATTCTTTGATGATAATTTTGAATAAAATATAGCAAAGTACTATTTTTAATAAAAATTACCCGTGTAATTATGACCATGTCCCCAAAAATTGTTGCATTTTCCGTACAGCAATTTGTTTTCTTCCTCACTCAGTTGTTCACTAAAATTGATTGTGAAATTGAAATTGTCTGGAATTAATAAAGGGTGTCCCAGACTTATCACCTTTTACCTACATCTATTCTTTGATGAATACAGAATTTATTTTCTCTGTCAACAAAGTTTATAAACCGATAACTTTTAAGAAATAAGCCCTTTTCTCTCGAGGAAGAAAGAGTTTCTCCAAAATTTTAAACTTTGAATAACGACCTTTTTTCTAGACATAATTCTATCTTCTTGCTTATTTCTCCTTTTAGGGTGACTTTAGATGCATTTAGGAAACACATTATTTTTGTAGTACATCTAAAAAGCGATAGATATAGAATGACGCGTTAGCGTTGATAGTGTTTCCCGAATGCACTTTTTCACTGAGGCCCATATTTTGAACCCTTTTTTATCACTAAAAATGTCTTTAAAAGCGACTTATAAGCTTCCTGATTGGCTATAAGTCACTTTTAGGGGTGTTTATAAAAGAGGTCAGAATACAGACCTAAGCTTCAGTTAATCTAATCATAAGTCGATCTGTTCTTTGTAACTGAACAAGTGTACACTTTCGGATTTTAAAAAGAAACGGGCTATATAGCTGTGATTTAACGTAGAAAAGAGAGAAAAAGATCTAGTGCAACTAATTCAGGTATAAAGAATAGATCATCGATTAAAAGCAAGCGTGCTAATATACATTAGGTCATGTTTAAACTAGAATTTATTTGTGTGATGCCACGTATGTCTCTAGCGATAAGTCTTCAGAAATACAGGTTAAGAAATGAGAAGAGAACACTTTTCTTTTTTTTTTCAGTAACAAACTGTAGTTTTGTGACCATGGCAATTCCGACTACTCAGTTAACTTTCGATTAAATTAACCGAAGTTTTGTGAAAGTCACCTGTAAGGGGAAGTGTATTTCGAAATGGTCAAGGGTCCACAGGTGAAAGATGGCTATTCAAATCTGGGATACACTATGGGATACACTGAGATAATGATACACCATTTAATTTATCCTCTAATTTTGTACCTGTGTAAACGATGAGAACAGGATATCGCTTCTTTTCGTGTTAGATATGCAATCGGCATGTTTACAAGGCGTTAACAGCTATGTGGTTACTATTTCGACTTAACGAGGGTGTTTATGAGAGCCACACAAATCCTGCTTCGACCTTGGAGACCTCGTGCGGCGAGATCTCAAAACATTGTTCTGTATACGCAATGTATGTTCATACCATGCACTAAAGCTAGTACATAGAAAAACTTAATTATAGCGAATTCGGTAGCTTGCACTAGTGCGCACTGAGTGCGCATTAAGGCTTGTTTACAGTACATTCTTATATTTAAGATCGTGTCTTAAATACATATTTAAAAACATTTTAACTAATAAAATGATTCGTACGGATGTTATACATATCATATTATGGTTAAAAATATTTGAGAATTTATTTGAGAATTATTTAAGACAATTTTTAAATATAATAACATACTATGAACAAGCCTTAGTGCGCACTCAGTGCACACTAGTGCAAGCAACCGAATTCGCTATTAGTAAAACGTAAGCAGTAAGCAAATTGACCAATTATAGTCATCGATTCTTCTTACGGTCCAAGAATCAACGACTGTGGGTGCTTTCCAATTGTTTAACACATTTTGACACACACGTACACAAAACCAGTTTATTGGTCACATATTATCTAAAATATCTTGTAAGATAATATGCAACTAATAAACTGGTTTTGTGTAACACAGTGTACGCAACTGGAAAGCACCCTGTGATTGGTCAATTTGCTTCTGTTTACGTTTTACTGCTTAAGTTTTTTTTATGTGCCATTTTTTATGTGCCTAAAACTCGTATCAAACTACCGACTGCACAGGCCGACCCGACTGTCGACTCTCAATGGACCAATCATAGTAAGGCACCGACTCGGTGTCTCATTGTGATTGGTCTATTGAGAGTCGGTAGTCGTAGTCGGCAGTCGGGTCGTCCGTGCAGTCGGTAGTCTGATACGGGCTTAAAGGCCAAATCACACTAGCGATTGGCGATTGACGATTGACAATTAAAGATTAGATTTTAACGAATCAACAAGCTTCAGCCTTGGCTTGCTTTGTTCTAATTGGTCAAGTTCTAATCTTCAAACGTCAATCATCTATCGCCAATCGTTAGTGTGATTTGGCCTTACAGCCCATATCAAACTACGGATTAAGAACTGGATTGGATTAAAATTTAATCAATCAGAATAAAGAAACCAATCTTAAATTTAGTAAACTTTGCTCTAATTGGTCAAATTTCAATACAATCCCTAACATTACTAGACAAATCGCGATATTGCGAGTGAGATCAAAGACAGAGGGAGGGCTTTTTCTTCTATAATGGTGGCAACTGTCAGTTTGAGTTTACTCGGATCCGCTTGCCTGTCCACCGTGTGCGAGTGAATTCTCACGCCCGACGCGATTAGGAGCTTTTTTTCAATCGGCACCTAGCATTGCTCCGCGACGTGTTCAGCACGAACTCTTATCTGTGATATTAAACGGTAAGTTTATTGATATTGTACATGTACGACGTGTGAGTTAAGAGTCATACCGGTAACGCCCTATCATCCGCAGGAATTAGTCATTTGGATGGAGCTGATGATATGAGAGTGACCTGAAAAACGAGATAACTTTCCGAGGGATAATATCGAAATGGATAGCAAGGGGAGGAAAATTATTGTGTGCGACAATGGCACGGGGGTAAGGGAGAGAGACACACGTAGCAGTTATTAGAAGATCTTCACGAAAAGTTCTTTACACTGAATAACGACAGAAATACGTCAAATCGACAATATATTGGGTCATTTATTGTGCGCTCATTATTTGCAGTTCGTGAAGTGTGGTTATGCTGGGGCGAACTTTCCGGCTCATATATTTCCGTCTATAGTCGGACGACCTATAATCAGAGCTGTCAATAAGATCGGTGACATCGATGTGAAGGTACGTTTGTTATCCTCGAATTGTGATTGATTTACGCGTAAAATCAGACGTGGGATTAATAATTGCAATTTTATTTCAATGCAAATGCTGTTGTTAATGATTTTACTGAAATATTCCCAGGTATTATTTAAGTTTCTCTGAGATTGAACATTAGTAATTGAAACTTACAATTATTGTCTCCATAAGTGCAAAGTAAATCTTAATTTTTTTTATTAGAATCAGTTTATAGAGAATCATTCAAAGCAAATATTTATTGCAAGTACTAAATTGTTGGTTCTGATATGGAATGAAAAAGAGATAAAGTTCACATAATCCTTTGAGTCTTTTAAATTGCTTGAGTGTGTCCAGCAAGGATTGTGTACTTAGATTATTAATGAGAACAATTATATTTTCAGCAAGAATATTGCGTTCGTGTAAGTCCATTATATAGTATTATGTCGTGTGCCCCCTGCCCCTTCGATGCTTAAGTCTGATTGATAATAATCTATACGCTTGTCCACTGATGTAAATAAGGCAGTTTGAGATATTAATGACTTTTACTAACAAATCTTGGAAAGGAATATATATTCAAAATGTAAGATGAATATTATTTGTAACATTTTTATTATAGTATATATTTGTATAATGGGTTTATATTAACAATTCCTTCGGGTTTATAATATTATCATTAAGTGGATGATTTTATGTATCACATGATATAAGTCTATTTGTTATGTCGTGTATGTAATGTTTCTCTCATGAGAGATCTTGAAAGTTCTTTAATGACCTAATGTCTGCTTCAATGAAGTAGTGTATGCCTTCACTACTTACCTGTTATGTATTTGCAATTTGTACTTTTGCGTGGGTACTTACATATATTACTATGTTCTTCCTATAATTATCTAATATATTTATGTGCTTACATTTGCTCTCGTAGGATGTGCTTAACATGCCTGTAAGTTTATTGTACTTTTTGATGTTATATACTGATACATTTATCACATCAGTGTTTGATGAAGAAGTATTTCTTTGGATTGTAGGTGTGGGAGTAGTGTCTAATAATATAATTCAGCAAACTTCTTTTTCAAAGTACTTAGGTACATAGTTTTGGAAGCTATAATTTAGTGTATACAATATCTTCCAGACGTGATATCTGTAACCTGATATAAAAGTAACATATATTCATTATAATTACTACCAATTATGATATTTTATGAGTATAATAATAACTAATAATTCTTGATGCAATAACGATTAAAAGATTTCATCCAACTTTCAATTTTTGATGGGAAATTTAAGGTTCTCAAGCAAATGTACCAAGAATTATCTATATCTTTTATTATTTGTATAATAAAGGAGCTTTATTGAATATATTTTTAATATTTAGTTGGTCAGTGTGTTCAACTACTTAGCATATCTGTATTATATGCTAGGAAATATATACAGATATAGTAATGAAGTAAAACAATAATATTCCTTCATACAATCGACATAATGTGTTTTCATAATAAGCACAGATTTTTAATAATCATGTATTATTGCCGCAGGACTTAATGGTTGGCGATGAAGCGAGTAAACTTCGTTCTATGTTAGAGATTAGTTATCCTATGCAAAATGGAATTGTCAGGTGTGTACACTTGTATCGCGAGATGCGCGCATTTGACAAATAAATCATCATGCAATTAATGCTCGACAGAAATTGGGAGGACATGTGCCACGTGTGGGATTATACATTCGGCAAAGAAAAGATGAATATTAATCCTAGGGAATGTAAAATTCTATTAACTGAGCCACCAATGAATCCTATCACGAACAGAGAGAAGATGATAGAGGTAACGTATATCAGTTAATGACATAAGCGGTAACGTACAATCTAGTGAAAATAAAATGGTATCCAGGCAGATAGAAATATTGAACATAGCGTACAAACATTTAATGTGTACTTTATGATGTTATTGTAACAGCATAACGCGCGTGTTTAAAATATGCTTGTTTTCAAAAATACTCTCATTTATTACACCATATAATTTTAATCAAAATATTTATTTTGTATTATTATTAACAATAATTATTTCCCGATTAGTTGTGTTCTTTTTCCGGAAAAATAAGTAGCAATTTTCATGGTATCAGATGATTTTTCTCATATACTGGAAAATTCTTGTTATATGAGGACGCAGCTTTGCGTACTTGTGTTAGTCGCTCTAAGCAGATAATATGTCGAAATATATCTATCTGGATAATTTGCGTATGATCGAAAGTATAATGTTTTCACAAAATGTTTCCAGGTGATGTTTGAGAAGTATGGGTTTGCTGGAACGTACATTGCGATCCAAGCAGTACTGACGTTATATGCTCAAGGATTAATTAGCGGCGTTGTCGTGGACTCGGGTGATGGGGTTACGCATATCTGTCCCGTGTTCGAGGAGTATGCTTTACCACATTTAACCAGACGACTAGACATAGCTGGACGCGATATCACAATGTATCTCATTAAATTGCTTCTATTACGTGGTTACGCGTTCAATCACTCGGCCGACTTCGAGACGGTTAGAATGTTAAAAGAAAAACTGTGTTACATCGGTTACAACATAGAAACGGAAGAGAAATTGGCGCTCGAGACTACCGTGTTGGTAGAGTCTTATACCGTAAGTAAAATATTATATGTATGCATGATTATATATGGCGTCTCAATCGAAGATCAAGAATGTACGTGTTACCGTAAATATTTTCTTAACAGCTTCCCGACGGGCGTGTGATAAAAGTAGGCGGTGAGAGGTTTGCGGCGCCGGAAGCGCTCTTCCAACCACATTTGATTAACGTCGAGGCGCAAGGAATAGCCGAGCTGGTATTTAGCACAATTCAAGCAGCCGATATTGATATAAGGAGCGAGCTATATAAGCACATAGTTTTGAGTGGCGGTAGTACGATGTATCCGGGGCTTCCATCGAGACTAGAGCGAGAAATTAAGCAACTTTACCTTCAAAGAGTATTGAAGAATGATACCACTAAATTGAATGTAAGTACATTACATACTTAGGAGAATTTTAATATGTTATACCTAGTTTAATACGTTATACTATTAAGTAGAAAACTCAATGAACACATGTATATATCATGACGTATCATATAATATGATTATATATATATATTTTTTTTTATATATATATATATATAAATTTTACACATATATATATATTCATATATAATATATGATATATATGATTATATAATTAGATTATATATATATATATATATATATATATATATATATATATATATATATATATATATATAT